GTGTATTCAGGTTTAAGTCCCCACCAGAATAGAAAAACAGGTACACACATACACACTCTCTCACACACACGCACACACACACGCGCGCACACACACACACACACACACACACACACACACAGGTGAGCTTCAGCTTTAATCAGATTACACGCATAAGAAGTGACTTCACGTAATTCAGTGTCAAACACAGAGCTCAGTGTGGACTGATGGGAAAGCGCTGGTTAATGGTTGTTTGACGTGAAGTTCGTCTGAACAGCTGTGCAAAGACAAACTCATATCTGCAGAGGAATAACACCGCCTTGGAAAGTCTGATTTTGTAACGGCATACTCAGAAATGTTCAATAGACATGATTTGTAAAAAAAACTGGAAATATCAATGACTTTAAAAACTGGGATTAATGCTCAGCTGACTTTAAACATTTTTTATTCATTTGTCTTGAGCATCTTGAAAAGTGCATGACTTTTTGCACCTTTTTTTGCCTAATTTTCCAACAAGATATACACTTGAGAAGCAACATTGCATGCAAAATTAAGATTTATCATCATAGCTTGTTTTTAATATTTTGTTTACTTGTTTATACTTTTAATACACTCATATTAAAGACAATCTATGAAAACAAGTCTCAGACAGAGAGGAGAGCTGGTGCATGCTGGGATACACACCGATGTTGACTTACAGCTGACCATGTTATCATTTGAGATACAAACAAATAATAAAGATCATCATGAATGAAAGCATTTAGATGAGGTTACTCTCGTAGAGGCCATAACGTTTGACTGATGAACATAATCCACATTTATGATCTTTCAACCATAAAAAAACAGACATTTCTAGTTAATAAATAATTTTATCAGCGTTTATTGTTAAGTACATACACCTGAGCGCTGCTATGAGTGAATGAAAGAATTTCCATAACTTTTCTGGAAAATCATTAAAAAAGAGATTATATTCCCAAACAGACATTTCTAGTTAATTCTATATTTTAGAGCTGAGTATTGCTAGAAACATTTATGTTCAATCTAGGTACATTGATCTTGTTTTAAGTATTGTTAGATATTTTAATTGGAAAAAAAAAGACAAAAATACTAAATACTGTATTAAGAATATGTTTGCTGAATCTTACTGCGCTGGAAGATTTTTTTCACATTGTTTTTAACTACTTCAGACACGGAAAGATCTTCCAGTGCAGTGAGACGAAATACACTCATATTAAAACCAGTCTATGAACATAAGCCTTTATATCTCATGCAGTGCAAACTGATCTTGTTTGAAGTATATTTAGATAACTGGGAAATAAGACAAAGATGCTACTATATGTGTGTGTGTGTGTGTGTGTGTGTGAGAATGTGTGTCTGTCAGGGATTCAGATCTTATAGAGTTCCATAAGGCTGCATGGATTACTGATTCTGTGTGTGTGTGTGTGTGTGTGTGTGTGTCTGCAGTCTTTTGTGTGATTAATCTGGTGTGTGTTCTGTATTGTGTGTCTGAGGAACCCATCTTTCCGGTCGCTGAAGTGAACACAGTTGTTTGTTTTGTATCAAACAGGTTAAAGGATCCTCCTGACACACTTTAAATACAGCACACACACACACACACACACACACACACAGATGACTGTAGTGTGCTGATACTGCAGGATGTGTGTGTACTATACATTTTAAAGTTAAATTATTCTATCTAGTGCACTTTGAGAGTTCGAAATTAAGAGATACACTTAATTTAATTAAGAGTAAAAACACTTAAAAACAAGTCAAACCGCCTGGATGATTCGTCTTCGCACATTTTATTTAATCAGGTTTTAGATATTAAAGGACAGATTTCTATTAGATTTTAGGTACTGATTGTTGGAATTGATTTAAACATATATGTACAGTGCCATTCAAAAGTTTGGTATCAGTAAGAATTTTTATATTTTTAAAAATGTCTCTTATGCTCATCAAGGCTGCATTTATCTGCTCAAAAATTCAGAAATAAACTGTAAAAGTGTGAAATATTATTGCAATTTAAAACAATGTTTTACTCTCAAATATACTCTAAAATATAATGTATTTCTGTGATCAAAGCTGTATTTTCAGCATCATTACTCCAGTCTTCAGTGTCACATGATCTTCAGAAATCATTCTAATATGCTGATTTATTATTACTGTTGGAAACAGTTGTGCTACTTAATATTTTTTCAAAAGAACACCATTTATTTAAAATAGAAATCTTTTCCAACAATATAAGTCTTTACTATCATTTTTATCAGTATAACACATCCTTGCTGAATAAAAGTATTAATATCTTTAAAAAAAAAGAAAGAAATTTACTGAGCTCAAACTTTTAAACGGTAGTGTATGTTGTTACAAAATACTGATTGTGGCAGTTTAAACATAAAATATGTACATATAATAATTTTTGTTATTCTTGGTCTTACATCACTAGCTGCTCTCACTCAGGTCCTGTAGAACTTCATGATTCTCCTCTGATTGTCAATATGAGCTACTTACTGTATTTTAATATTTTTAATTGCTGTTCTTCACTTTATTTGTTCATTCGTTTTCAACATTGATGATAATCAGAAATGTTTCTCGAGCAGCAAATCAGCATATTAGAATGATTTCTGAAGATCATGTGACACTGAAGACTGGAGTAATGATGCTGAAAATACAGCTGTGATCACAGAAATAAATTACAGTTTAACAGATATTCACATAGAAAACAGCTATTTTACATTGTAAAAATATTTCATAATTTTTACTGTATTTTTGATCAAATAAATGCAGCTTTTGTGAGCAGAAGAGACTCTTTCAGAAGCATTAAAGATCTTATGTCTGGAGGTGTGTGTTGGTGTGAGTATCTGAGTGAAGATCAGTGTGTGTGTGTGTGTGTGCGTGAGTGTGTGTGAGTGTGTGTGCGTGTGTGTGTGTGTGCGAGTGTGAGCGTGTGTGTGTGTGTGCGAGTGTGAGCGTGTGTGTGTGTGTGCGAGTGTGAGCGTGTGTGTGTGTGTGCGAGTGTGAGCGTGTGTGTGTGTGTGCGAGTGTGAGCGTGTGTGTGTGTGTGCGAGTGTGAGCGTGTGTGTGTGTGTGCGAGTGTGAGCGTGTGTGTGTGTGTGCGAGTGTGAGCGTGTGTGTGTGTGTGCGAGTGTGAGCGTGTGTGTGTGTGTGCGAGTGTGAGCGTGTGTGTGTGTGTGCGAGTGTGAGCGTGTGTGTGTGTGTGCGAGTGTGAGCGTGTGTGTGTGTGTGCGAGTGTGAGCGTGTGTGTGTGTGTGCGAGTGTGAGCGTGTGTGTGTGTGTGCGAGTGTGAGCGTGTGTGTGTGTGTGCGAGTGTGAGCGTGTGTGTGTGTGTGCGAGTGTGAGCGTGTGTGTGTGTGTGCGAGTGTGAGCGTGTGTGTGTGTGTGCGAGTGTGTACGTGTGTCTGAGTGTGTGTGTGTCTGTGTGTGTGTGTGTTTGATTGTTGTCGTTCCTGTCGGTCTGGTCTCATTCCTGACCTGTCGGTCTCCTCCGTCCTCTCGACCGTCTGTCTGTTCTCATCATGGCTCTGTGGAAGAGAAAGCTGCAGATCTCCACCAGACGTAAGAGGAAAGCTCCTCCTGAGTAAGAAGCTGATTTTACTGATTGATTTCTGTGGCTCCATTCATCAGATGCTGATTCTCGTGAGGCCATGAGTGTTTTCTGTGTCAGACACACTGTGTTTTATATCTGTGTGTGTGTGTGTGTGGAACCAAAGAGCTTGTTATTAACCCACAATTTATAACTTGACCTGAGCTGAACTGAACTAGACTGATTTCAGCTGTAGTTATATTTATCGTGGTTGTGTATCTGATTCTCTGTGTGTAAATATTTTGGTTTGCCGGCTGCTGGAGGGGAACGTTCATCACACACGTATTGAGTCCCAGCATGATCAGTGTCTCACACGCTAACCATTGATCACTGTGTCTCTACAGGGCAGAGAAGACAGAAGTGCTGAGTGAAGATCTGCAGCAGGTAGAGTGAGTGAGTGAGTGTGTGTGTGTGTGTGTGTGTGTTCATAACTGAGTGTGTGAGTGTGTGTGTGTGTGTGTGTGCAGGTGGAGAAGCGTCTGGAGCTGGTTAAGCAGGTGTCTCACAGCACTCATAAGAAGTTGACGGCATGTCTGCAGGGTCAGCAGGGTGTGGACGTGGACAAGCGGTCCGTCCGCTCGCCTTCAGTAAGTCATGAAGCTCATTCAACAAATAACGCTGAATAACCAGCAGTGTAGTCGATTCATGAACAAATGATTCATTAATACGTTGTTCAGAACGATTCCTGTGCTCAGGAGTAACTTTTTTGAATCAATCAGATGAATCATTTACTGAATCAACTCACTGAATCAGTGAGAGCGAATACTGAACATCTGACTCTCTTACTGAACTGCACGTCTCAGAATGAAGCGAGGTTTGTCACTGAAATGTCATAAATGTAATTCATGACTTGACATGAATTAATTTAATACATTTACTGGTTTTGTGGAACTGACCTTCATTGTTTGCATTGAAAAAATATTTGCTATTCTCATTTTTTTTCTTTGTTTTGATTCTATTTATTAAAATGAAATATTTATTATTAAAATTAATATTTAATTTTAAGATTTAAAATTAGTTTCTTAGTTTAAAAAAACATTTTTATATCATGTTTTATAAATGCAACACAAGCAATTTTTTAACTGTGGTCTGTGCATGTTTTCTTGAGATTTATCCACATATATTTGAAAAGCAAGCAAAAACGTGTGTTTATGTGGTTTGCTTTTATGTGTATGAGTGTATGCATGTTTTATAATTTAACAAAGAAATTCAGTATGACCTGTCTGTGTGTGTCCAGACAATAAAAATATTGTTAAAAAATCAGCATCAGTTAAAGGCAGTACATATATATATATATATATTTATAATTATCGCAATCTGAACAACTGAGGATAAATAAATACTATCCAGCATAAAGCACAGTTTTCAGTAACAGTCTGAAAGAATATGTATATTCTTTAAATTTTAACAATTTTTGATTGAATTGATTGAATAGTATTTATCTATTTATTTATTTCATTGCAGTGTTCATGACTATTAAAATTAAAACAAACAAACAAAAA